AGACTCTGAGATTAGAGTAGATATCTTTATCTCACATCACTTTTACTCCAATAAATTAGAGGACGTAGATATACGAAACTCAACCTCCACCTTTATTATACAAATCCGGAATCCCTCTCCACCCGGCAAAACGATACATGAATAATAGAACATTACATACATGAAATCAAATCTAATAACATTATCACCACAGACTTAAAAGACATAACCAACATATTAAATTCAAAATTCTTAGACATGGGTAAATTTAGTAACCCCATACCTCCATTATTTACAGAACATAAAAAATTGCTGAAGTCAGCATATACTAACACATCATTCTCATTCCAAGCTGTTAGTGAAGTGACAATATTAAACATTTTACAACAAATGAACTCGAAAAAGTCGTCTGGTCCTTCAGAAATTATACATGTCAGTATTATTAATGAGTAAAAATATCATCACACTTCATATCACATGCATATATGTAACCAAATGATCATGAAGAATGAATTTCCTGAAATTTGCAAAACTGCTAACGTCACACCCGTACATAAAAAAGGAGATAGAGATAATCCAGAGAACTACAGACCTATCTCAATAGTTCATTGTTTTGGTAAGTTACTAGAAAACGTATTATACACTCAAATCTGCGATTATCTAAAAAAAAAAAACTCCCTACTATACAAAAAGCAATTTGGTTTTCGGAAAAATCACAGTACCACTGACGCACTAGTCACGACTACAGAGGCCTACTGGAGACACAATTTGGACAATAACAGATTTGTAGCGACCGCATTTCTTGACTTAAGCAAAGCTTTTGACAGCATATCCCACAAAACATTGCTTCAAAAACTAAAACAAGTAGGATTTGACACATACTCTACAACACTGATTGATAAATACTTAACAGACAGAAAACAGAGAGTGAAAATTAACAACACTACATCAGAATGGGGGGGCTATTTTTAGAGGAGTTCCGCAGGCACTAGCGGATTAAGGGCGGGGCAACAGGGGCACGTACCTCGGGCCCCCACATTTGTGGACCCCCACATTTAGAGTATCCTAAAATTTACAAAACTGTCGTAATTGTGATCCACAAAATTCTTAGCATTTAACGTTGAAGTGATGCGTTTCCCATGCTGTTTCTCTGACTGAATTTTGCGAACACTTTCCTAATACCGAAATTGCTCTGAGAACTATCTTTCACTTGATTGGTCTCGAATTGTAGGCGGTTGAAAGGTCATTTTCAAATACTCAAGTTGATCAAAATCAGCATGAGAACGCATCGATGAGCCAACAGAGCTGGTAACACGGCTCAGTTATTCTCGCTATCGAATGTGACATTTTAAATTCGTTGAAACACGATGAAATACTCTCTGAATTTGCAAGCATGAAAGTGCAGAAAAAATACAGATTATAGGGCCCCCACACAATTGCGTGCCCCGGGCCCCCCACACGCTTAGTCCGGCCCTGCCCGCAGGGGACATTACTGGGACCGTTACTATTCTGCATATACATCAACAATATACCAAACATACTCGAAAAATGTGAACTGACCCAATATGCTGACGATACATTCAGACAAAACAATTCAGATCAAAATAAAGCTGTTAATACACTGCAAATTAATGTGGAAAAAATTAAACAGGTATTCGATTACCATAATTTACAAATGAACTCAGACAAAACAGAATTCATGCTATTTTGCCGCAATAGTAATAAAATTGTGGATACTAACAAAATTAAGTTGGATTAACAAAATTGAATAAGAAAGTTGATAAGTAACAACTCGATACCACAATTGAGAACAGTAAAATTTTTAGGTATGTATATATAGATCAGCATTTAACGTGGAATGACCACATAACTACATAGTAGACAAGATGAGTACAAGTATTAGCTTCCTCAGACAGATACGGGGTCAACTATACACAAACATAAAGCTGCAAATATACTCGTCACTCTGCCTGTCACATCTCATATATGGATCTAGTCTGCTTATAAATCTCCCCAAATCAGCTTTAGATAGACTAGAATTATGCTCTACGCATTATAACAGGCTATTCCCACAAAAACGCTACATCACAGAGACAGACAAGAGCAGCTACTAGAACTAGAGAGGAACTAAAAGTACCCCCAATCGAATACCTAATTAAATACCACACAGTTATATTTATATACAAATACATATCCACCATGTAAACAAACCACTCAGAAATAATCCCCTACCTTACCTGACAAATATTACATTAAATTCAAGAACACTTAAATTAAAACAAATAACAACAAGTAATATGTATGGACACAACTCGCTCACTAAAGATGCAATAAACCAATGGAATAAACTACCAATAGACACAAAAAGGAAGCCTTCATTTAGCACATTTAAAAAAATGTTAAAAAACTCAATTTTAACATCATATAACAGATAGGAGAACAATGTTGCATTCTGTATGAATATGTGTCTATATTTATATAAATGTGTGTGTGTCTGGGTGCGTATATGTAATATGTAATGTATGTCATGTGTATATAACGGTGTACGTATGAGTTTTTTTCCTAGGTTTCTATTTTTTCTTCATGTTGTATGCACTGTTTTGTACTGCATCACTCAGAAAATTTATCATTTTAACTACTCAACACTATTGCATTTATCAGATTTTTTCTCCATGAAAAAAAACTGTCGTCAGTACATGTATTTGTATCTGAATTCATGCAATAAAGATTTAATAATAATA